TCTACCTAAAACTTGGAGGGGCGCAAAACAGAAAATGTGAGTGAGCAAAAATAAATGTTTTCAAAATCATTTCATTTCTCAAAAGTCATAACCCCTCGCCGTAAAACATGTATAATTTTCCCATAAATAGAATATAAACATATGCATAAATGTATATATAAATATCTCAATTCAAATCATGCTTTACATAACCATATTCATAAGTATTTCATGCCAAAACATAAAAAATAGTATAAGTAACTCAGGTGAGAATAACATATTAGCCGGAACCACTGCATAAGTCTGTACGGCTGAATTAATAGCTCATTAGTCAATCTAGCCGGAGTCACTACAATGACCTATACAGCACTACACTGCACACGAGTCGGAACCACAAAAAGGGTCTGTACGACAAGAATGGGTGTAATATAATTATGCTCAATACTACGCTCTCATGATAGCTGGGCGATAAATCGCTAGTCACCTACGAGTCGGAGCCACCTATGATGGTCTGTACGACAAGACTGTGCACCTAAATTGGATCCAATATGAGCATATGGTACGGGAGATGACATTATAAACAGGCATGTACTCTATCTCTAGTAATTCACAATCACCCGGGGTGCAGGTTTATGAGCTCTATGCTTCTCAATTAATCACAACTTTAATCACATTCATAATTCATAACTCACATGGGCTTACTTGAGCGTCCACAGCACCACAATTATATATTATGCATCATATACTAATTCATATACAAAATATAAATTTATATGCATGGCATTCAAGGCATACTTTCATTTAAACGCATTTTCTGGGAAAATATCAAGTATATTAGTATATATTGAAAACCAAAAGCCCACTCACTGGTATGTTGAAGGGTCGTAGCCTCTGAGTCGCCCTTGACTGCGCTCGTTCTTGGGATAAGTCTCCCCTATATGCAAAACAACTATAAAAACGTTAATTTAAAGCACATAACCAAAACTAACTAATAACTTCTCATACATTGCTCAAATGGGGTGTTTGAATATACCAACATGATCTACACAACCTCATGAACATCCCCATATTTTTAGAATAATTTTTCATGACCCCACGTGCCCTCACGTGCCGCCCACGCGCAAGGACTCTAACGGAATCCCTTAACCTCGTTAGGAATATTTCGTCAAATAGTAACGGAAACCGTTAAACTAACCAACGCCGTTAGGAATATTCCGTCATCCCCTACCTTCGAACTCTGCCGATCGTCGCTGGCGCCGGAAATTGGGAAATTCTTAAAATCCTTATATCTCCGTCAATTCTTAACCAAAACTCATGAAACTTGAACCAAATTGAAGCTTAGGACGAATAGAACATAATCTTACCAATTCCAAGCTCCAAAAATCACGGGATCTCGCCTGAGAAAGCTCGACAATTCCGGCCAAATTTTAAACTCTCCAAACTCGACTTTCCGATATCCAATTTGCTTGGTTTTTCTTCTCCGAGCTTCGTACGAACGTCCTAAAGCTCCCTATGAGCTTAAAATCCCCTGAAACATCCATAATTACGACCAAATGAACAATACTCAAATTGGGGGTGATGGTTTCTCGGGTTTTCGAAGGTTTTAAGTTCTAAAAATAGTACGAGAAGGAGGAGAGAAAGAGTGCACGGGATGGAGAGAGAGGGAGTTGGAGTGTGTGTATAGTCCAAAATTGTTTGACTTCCAAACAATCACAAAACCATAACAACTTTTAAGTCCTAATTGGTTCTAAATATTAGGGACTTAAGGTAATAGTTCACTTCCAAACTTAACCCACACAGTCACACAAAACGTCTAAGGGTAAAATAGTAATTTCACATCGTCGAAACTATACATCTCGGGACAGGTTGTGACAATAAAATAATAAACAAATTGGATCCAAAACTAACAAGAAAATACAAAAATTGATTACAAAATATATAATTTGAGAAAACAACTATAAAAATAAATCAGAATATTTCGGAAACAGTATTCCAACTTTTAACCCAGTTGATTAATTTAATCATGTCTTCTGTGCTTGTCGGAATGAATTCACTTTTGAACTAAGGGATGCACCTCTATAACTAGGAAAATGTGGTGCTCTAATCGGACCTGGCTTCTGTGCTCCTACTTTCCATACTCTCGTCCCTTCCTGGGGTCACAATTAAGTTATGTCAACATTTTATATTATTATTACTTTTTGTCTCATTATTTTTATAAAAAAAATTAATATAAAATGTTGACGTAGCTTAACTGTAATCTCACAAAATAAGAGGGAATGAGAATGTATGAGAAGTGAGAGGGCAGAAAAAACCGGTCTGCTCTAATCACAACCCTTTTCATAAAAATATACTAATATCTCACTGACACCACTGATAGCCATTACTTTTTGTTGTAAAACTATTTCTTTTGTTGGCAAAATAGCATACAAAAAGTGTCGAGATGCTTCCTTTGAACTCCTTTAGAATTTTTCTCATCAACTTTTAAGTAGCTAGGCTTGTTCGTTTTGCTGTGAGTAATCTCAAAAAATGGAAAAGGAAACTCTCCCCTCGTGCTTGCATGATTGAAATTCAATACTAACAATAAATAATAATGCTATAATTTTAGGTTGGGTTTTCTCAACCATAGGCTTAAAAAGTTTGTTCCGGTTTAGAGAATAAAGTTTCTACTACTGTAGTTTGACGACTAAGTCTTATATGTAGTTTAACTCGTCTAATCTATTATCATCATTTAAAAAAAAGAATGGAAATCTCCACCCTATCTATATACAATATGTGTGCACTGGTACATATATATAATATGGGGACACATAAAATTCTGCAAAGTTTTTTTTTCTTTGAAAAGAGGACTAGTATCGATCTCATTTAGTGGGATAAAACTTGGTTGTTGTTTTTGTTGTAAAAAGATGACCAGCTGGTGACGAAACCACTACAATCTCCTTACGAGGGTCGGAAAAGTTCGCAAAGGCATATCAGCTTCCTATGGACATAAAATTTGCAAAGGAAAGTTTGGTGAAGTTATTTTATTGTTAGGTCACAAATTGTACAAGTGGCATTACTAATTATACCACTATGAACAACTCTGACAACAAGAATTTGTTACCAGACATAGAAAAATTCAATTTTATACCCAAAAAAGGAGGGTCCAATGATATATATAAAAAATAAAAAAAACCCTAAAAACCGTACTTTTTCACTCGAACAGATTCTACACAAAGAGAGCAACCACATGAGCTGCTTCACACAGATTTTAGAATAATCAAATGCCCCATTGTCTGCCATTGCCACCCTTTCCTCGAGCAACACGAGTTGGCAGTCTCCATACATTACTCAACGTGTCCGCTGCCACCAGTACTTCTAAAGCTGCAACTTCCATCTTTGCAAGTTAAAGCAGCAGCGCCTGTCAGTTTCCACGGTATTACTCCAAATTCTCAACAAAATGTCAACTTCTTGGAGCCAAAAGTGCTTGCTCTTCACTCTCGTTTTTGCATTCATTGTTCTCTCAGAAGCATCAAGATTGCCTAATTGGGATCAGATGCTGCCGAAGAAGCTACCAACTCCTGCGTCGTCTCCCTCCAAAGGCACAAACTCGGCGACTAAATCTTCCTCCAAGGCCTTGGAAGCTAGTAGAAATCTCCCTTCATCTAATGGAAAGGTCTAGCCACTGGCCACCACAGTAATATATGAATGAACATCTTTAGTTTCGATTCTATATCTTATCTTCGACAAGTATGCAATCCGTGGCGTCAAATATGCAATCCGCGGCAATGCACTAATCGGAGGGAAGCACGCAGAGCTTTGAAATTAGTTATATGCTGGTCTGATGAGGTGCTTAGTTATGAACAAAGTTATATGTCCTTGTAGATTTTTCTTTGACGTAATTAGTCAGCGACGGTACAGTCTCTTGTAAAGATCACAGAGTAAATTTATTATTGGATAGGAGGAAATAGCAATCAGAAGTTTTGGGACAGTAAGAGCTATATGTAAGAGCTATATGTAGAGCTTCTTTTATTTCAAATTTGGCATTCCTTAACGCCCAATAAATGTATCACTTCAAATTATTTCGATCTTTCTACTTTTTTTCGTGTAAAACTTGAATAATATTCTCAAATTAATTTCCTCTTAGAAGGACCTTTTAGTACTCACTCAAACTCACCATCCATGGTGCTGCCTTGATTTTCTCTGTTAAATAGATCTTTATGAGTTAAACATTATCAGCTTGTTTACAATTTTCATTTACTGAATTTGGAAAACAGATGGGTTCTTTACTTGCTTGTAATATAAGGAAACATGAGAGAATTATACGGCCCTCGATCAAACGAGAAATCGCTTGAGCAGTGAGCACCATGTCAACAACCATCCTCACTTCTAGTGGTCGATATGATATTGCTTGAGCATCAGTCCGGCTATCGGGCAAGAATCAAATTAGTGATACAGATACTTGGTGGCGCTTAATTGCGATACAGTTAAAGTAGCTGTAATGCAATCAGTATTCTTTGCTTCAATTTCTGGTCGTCTCATCTCTGCTACTGTCATGGTTGATGTTTGGTGCTTGGTTTTTTCGGTACCTGGTTTTGTTTGCTGGTCTTGCGTCCTTCAGTATTTAAGCTGGGGGCAAAGGGGAGGCAAATTCGTTGTTTTTCATTTTTTTCGGTTACATTAGAAGGAACCAAAACCTCTAATCTACCTAAACCTAACTCATTACGTGCTTTACTATTCTTCACCGCTTGAGCTAGCCCCAAGGGCTCCTATTCGTATGATCTTTACTATCGAAGTTAGATGTCCTGCATAACTAAATCATATTCCGATTCTTTTTACACTTTAATTCCATTTTACCATAAACGAATCCAAATGTCGAAGAACGAAGATTTATACATGACAGTATGGCACTATTATGACATTTTAAGATTGACAACACTAACAACTTTGAATTATGTTGATAATGAAAGGGAACATAACATCCTTGTTGATCTATCTTCATAGGTGATATTTGCTTACCATTCCCATCAAACATTCTTCGTAACTTCTCTTAAATCATTCCGTAATTTTATTGATAATAAGCAACACAAACAACAGAACTGGGGCGATTACAAGGAATCAAGTATCATCATTATTTGGAAGATAATCGATACAGATTGCATAATTTGGAGTTTTCTAACTAGCATACAATAAGAACTTTCAGCCAAATATTGCTTCTCCTTCATTACCTACATTTGGCTCAACAAATAAATAAGAACAGATGAAACTCTTACTTCAGTGCGTAGGATCTTTCGTTTGAGAGAAACTGACATTTGTAGCTGATAATCCAACAATATCGGGGCTCCTGAGCTGATCAAGCTGTTTCTTACCACGTCGCAGCAAGTACTCAATGTAGAGGAAATTTTTGCGGTCTACTTCCTTTGCATTGCGGCGGAACTCAATTGATACAAGTGACTCAATCCGCTGCCGGTCTTCAGCAGATTTTGTGCGGGCTGCCCTCAGAAACCCTCTGTATAGACTTAGTACTTGCTTCTGCATCCCAGAAAGCCGCCTTGGTGCACTGGAGGGTCCCATTGTGTCTTCTTTTGTTTGGCACCGGATTTTCTTTTGAGAAGAACTTGAAAAGATTATAGCAATTTTTTACTTATGTTGCTTCTGCTGCATAGCAATACAAGTTAGTATATTTCTTAAGCTATAAAAGTAAAACACAATCTACCGCGCAACAAATAGAAGAAGGTTCCTAGCAATGTTCAACAATCTCTTATAAGAAACTGATTTCCATATGTGCAACCAAATACCAATACAAAGGGAAATTCCAAGTTTTGAATTAGAAAAACAGAACAATGTTCTGCATAACAACCTCTTCAAAATACGCACAATAAATCCAACTAACGACTCAAACACTAACGTATGCATCTTGCAATACTGATCACAGATATACTATAGTTCATTTCCATACGGACATGATATGGATGAACCCAGCTTCGATACTTTCATCATAAATCCAATGCACAAAATGAACAGGAGACAAACAAAATAGAAAATAAAAAACTGTCGTCATTGTTCATACTTGTTTTCAAGTTATTCTATCTGTACAACAACAACAACAACCACCAAATATTATCCCACTAAATGAGTCGGCTGTATGAATCCTAGAACGTCACTGCGCTCAGTTTAGCACCATGTCTTTCGTTAGCTCCAAGTACTCCATATTCCATCTCTAGTAAACTAAAACAGTTGAATACAGCATTCAATTGATCAATGGCACTGACTCTTTTATTTATTATTATTTTGTTCCGACTCCATGATGGTTTTCTATCATGCACTCCATAAAGGACTTTCATCATACAGGTGGTGACCATGAGAAAAAAAATGCATTCCAGGAAACACATCACAAATTATATACTAACTTCCTCATCATAACGCCATTTTGGTAATACCCAGAAGCTAATTTGTGCGATTTCGTTATAAATTCGATGTTTTATGCGAAAATTTTAGCAAATACAGACTAGGCAACTCGTACAAGCAAAATAGTAACATAGCCTAGTTGTTCCTAATGTCAAATTAAGCAATTGAAAATAAAATAAATCGAAGGGAAAATACACACCTAGATCCTCGGAGAAGCAGAAATGCCAAAAACGCAGAGAGAGAGAGTGTGTGTGTGTATATATATATGTATGAATGTATATGTATAACAAACCTTATCGATCCTCTTTTTCTCAACTTTGTTGGGTTTTGCCATCATGTGCAGGTCAGTCACGATGATTAGAAGTTTGGTATACCGTAAGAAATTTATGCTTAAATCAAATTTACGTACCTAATAATTTGACTAATCAGAAGTTAAGCACGTTAATCAAAATTTAAATTATATCATTTGGTTTACAAAATTTAGTTTAAAAATTTGATCTCTTTAACATTATTCTGAGAATAATACACACTTGTACTTCTCCCAAGGTCTAAAATATCGATATTATCGGCGATATTTCGCCAATAATATTGTTTCTGTGAGAGGGCGATATTTTCACACTTATCCACTTAATTATCGTCAAAATATCGCCATATTATCGATAATATCGATTGTTTGTACCATACTTGACCAATCTCGAAACTACTGAGCACCGGTCAACGTTTATACCGTCAAGGACCTAGAAGAGTTTCCCTCCAACCAGGAGGTCAATCACAGCGCGACACGTGTCGACATCAGAAGCCAATCATAGCGTGACACATGTCAACATCAGAAGCCAATCACAATACGACACGTGTCAATGTCAGAATGAAACTAGAAATTCTCTTCTATAAATAGAAATCATTCTCTCACAATATTTCCTAATATCATTTGTACTAAATCATTCACTAGTACTCACTAAAGGAGAGCTTGAACCTATGTACTTGTGTAAACATTTCACAATTATGAGGACTCCTCTACTCCGTGGACGTAGCCAATCTGGGTGAACCATGTACATCTTGTGTTTGCTTCCTTGTCCCTATCCATTTACATACTTATCCACACTAATGACCAGAGCAATCTAGCGAAGGTCACAAACTTAACACTTTCTGTTATACCAAAGTCCTAACTGATTTTGTGCATCAACATTTGGAGCCGTTTGTGGGAATGACACTTATTCTCACTCTCTTCAGCTTTGTTAAGCTAGTTTCCACCATTTGTACAATCTCTTTTGACCAAGCATCCCTTTCCAACATGGGGAGCGAAGGAAGCCACAGCACACAGAATGACACCCCTCTTGCACCTAGTGCGAAGCAACGAAAGAAGGAAGGAAAGAGGGTTGCTCTTCAAGCTAAAGTCGATGAGCTAGAATCTCAAAACAACAAGATAGCAATGAAGATTGAGGTCCTCCATGAGCAGTATGAAAAGCTCTTTGAGATGTTCCACGAAACTAGGCGTACTTAAACATGCGAACTCGTTACCCCTGTGGACATCAACCATCATCTGGATGCCTCCCAACAGGGAGGGTCACATTCCTCCGACATGGGTATGCCTGATGAGGAGCGAGCTAATCATCAAAACATTGATCAACATGAGACTTATCTCAACCCAACTGCTTCGACTTGAAGCATGAGAAGTGGAGGAAGACACCTCATTGTAGAAAGGTTGGAAGGATCGAAAGCTGTTTATCGTGACTGCCGAGACTTCCTAAAGCAACGTCGAGATAATCCCCTCCACATAAGCTCGAAAATCAATGACCCAAGAGTTTCTGAAAGACTCAGTCCTCTCCCACGTCCCAGGCCGGCTACCAATTTGGGGAAGGGGCAACAAGTCCTAAAGAAACACAAAGGTATAGGGGACTCAGAGATGTTTCGACAGACATACCTTGAAAGTCAGTACGGCGAGTTCAGGGAAAAATCACATGCTCTTGATCAAACCTTCCTACTTCCAAGAGGAGATGGAGATTTACGAAAAAAAAACTCCAGTGGTACATGACTCCACTTAGGACCCTCTTGTTCTATAGCTTCTTAAGGAAGTAAACAAGTTAAAGGTCAAACGACAAGCTGAGATACCTGATTGGAACCAACCTAGGCCTGACCCTCTTACAAGGAGGATCCTCGACACCCCCTCCAAGCAAAGACAAAGCAGAAGCTTGGCTTGCAACTCTATACTGGAAATGAGGACCCGACTGAACACCTTAACCTCTTTGAGTCCACCATGGCATACCGGATGCACACCGACGAAGAGCGATGTCTTCTCTTCCCTTTCACCCTCTCTGGCGGAGCTCTAAACTGGTATTGCCGTCTTCCACCTGAGATGGAAGACTCATTTGAGGAATTGAGGAAACTATTTGTTTCTCAACACATTTTCCAGACCGATCGCTTGCATTCTGCAGATGACTTGTACACTATTCGCCAGAAGCCAGACGAGTCACTACGAGAGTATGCCGGTCGTTTCAGCCATGAGTATTCTCGCTGCGTTGAGGCAGATGACAAGACCGCCCTCAAGGCCTTCACGGTAGGCCTACGTGATTGTTTCTTCAAGTACATGATCAATGCCAACACTTGGAAAACTTACTATGAGGTGATGGCACAGGCTTACAATCATGCCTCCGCCGAGGCAAAGACATATCAAGGGAAACCCCCACAGCCACCCCTTATCAGCAAGTAGGGAGTGGAAGCCAGATCCAACCAAATGAGAAGACCCCGACCTAGCAGTGCCTCCCCCTGCCTTACTTAATACTTTGCCAAGTCACAGACATATCAATCTCAGGGCAAAATGAAAGATTTCCATCCTCACCAGTCTCATTTTAGTAAAAGGAGTAAGGGACACTACCGCGATAACCAAGGGTATCGCCACGATAATCCTCGACCCCAGGCAGTCAACACAGTGGGTCAAACACGTGTCAGGATAACCCCTACCCTGAGGTATGAGGCATACACACCTTTGAACGCTACATGCGTGGCCATTTACCTTAGCATAGCACACCTGATACCGAAGCCAAAGCCGAGGCACCCGGATTACAAGTCCACGAAGAACACTGACACGTTTTGCTGCTACCACCAGTATAACGGCCATGACGGCGAGAAGTGTATCACCCTTCGTGATCATATTGAAGCTTTGGCACGTGAAAGAAAAATTGATCAATTCCTCCTTCACCCTCCAAGGGGTAACCATAACCAACGGCAGGTGAATGTGATATATTCCATAAGTGGTGGCACACCCATATCTAAATCTTCCATCAGGGCCATGAAAAATAGTGAACGAGCTTTAAGGTCTGGCCACCAAGTGTTTCACGTGGAAGACATCAGGGGAGGCAAGTATCAAAAGTCTAACTGTGATCTAATATGTTTCTACCCTGAGGAAGAAAAAGGTATCATCTACCCTTACAACGACCCACTGATCGTGGAAGCTCACATAGCCAACTTTGAAGTACGACGAATCCTGGTAGACACGGGGGTTTTGGTCAGTATCATGTTTGCTGAAGCTTTCAGGGCACTTAATGTAGCTGAACACTTGCTCAATCGCTCGATTTCCCCTTTGATAAGCTTCTCCGGTGATATCGTGCAACCTTTGGGGAGCATACACTTACCTTTCACCATTGGTACAGGCTCTTACACAACTACCATTACCACTAACTTCCTGGTGGTTGATTGCCCAACGGCATACAATGTCATCTTCGGACGCACATGCATCAATAATCTCAAGGCCATGGTATCCACACATATGTTGTTGATGAAATTTCCAACCCCCTATGGCAATGGTTATATCAGAGGAGATCAACTTAGTGCAAAATCATGTTACAACACTTCGGTCAAGCAACAGCAAGCACAACCCGCTGAAAAGTTAGAGAAGGTCTCTATCTCAAAAGATTATCCGGATCGCATGGTGAAGATTGATACCACCTTGTCACCACCCATTCGGTTGACATTGATCTCTTTTTGCAAGAGAACACTGAAGTCTTTGCCTGGTTATACGAGGACATGTCAGACATCTTTCCTGATATAATCTGTCATTGCTTAAGTATTGACCCCAAGACCAAGCCAGTGAGACAGAAGCGAAAATCTTATGACGCTGAACGGTACGAGGCAATGAAAGCAGAAGTTGAAAAATTCAAAGGCATAGGCTTCGTCCATGAAGTCAATTATCCAACGTAGGTAGCAAATGTTGTCCTTGTTAAGAAGAATCCGACCAAGGAAAGTCTTCTGCTCCAAAAGGTTTTGTGGAGAATATGTGTCGATTACACCGACCTAAACAAAGGATGCCCAAATGATAGCTTTCCTTTTCCTCTCATAGACAAACTTATAGACTTTACGATAGGGTGTGAACTCCTGAGCTTCATGGATGCTTACTTATGATACAACCAAATCCTTATGAACCCTTCGGACCAAGAACACACAGCCTTCACTACTGACAGGGGACTATATTCCTATAAAGTCATGCCTTTCGGCCTAAAGAATGCAGGAGCGACTTATCAGAGACTGGTCAATTTAATGTTCACCGAACAGATTGGGAAGAGCATGGAAGTTTACATTGATGATATGCTGGTTAAGAGCAAACATGCTGACCAACACATCACCAACCTATCTGAAACTTTCACCATTTTGAAAAGGTATCGAATGAGGTTGAACCCCAACAAATATGCCTTAGGCATAGGCTTTGGTAAATTCTTAGGCTTCATGATAAGCCAACGAGGCATTGAGGCTAATCCCGAGAAGATCAAAGCAATCCTCGACATGAAGGAACCGGTAACTTCAAAAGATATCCAAAGCCTTACTGGCAAGGTGGCAGCCTTAACTAGGTTCATCTCTAAGGCCACAGACAGATGTGCTCATTTCTTCAAAGCACTTAAGGGAAGTAAGAAGTACATTACATGGACTGATGAATGTGCTGAGGCATTTAAGAACCTCAAAGACTACATGAGTAAAGCCCTTTTGCTCTCCAAACCTGAGGTTGGTGACACTCTCATTATCTATCTGTCGGTATCGGCTTCAGCAGTAAGTTCCGTTCTCATTCGAAATGATGGTAATGTCGAATGGCCTGTCTACTACGCTAGCAAGACATTACAAGATGTGGAGACACGATACTTCAACATTGAGAAATTGGCTCTAGCATTGGTCATGTCTGCTCAAAAACTTCGCCCTTACTTCCAAGCACACTCTATCATCGTGCTTACCAATCATCATCTTCGATAGATACTCCAAAGTCTTGACACTTCTGGGCGAATGATCAAATGGGCGATTGCATTGGGTGAGTTTGACATCTCCTACCAACCAAAGCCAGCTGAGAAGG